AACCATCCGGCCTCCCATAAAGCCAGCTGCATTAAGACCTTGTTTAAACGGGTGCAATCGCACTGCAGCACCATGGAGTCTAAGGCAGAAGAAAGGAAACATCTATTTTGCATATGCTGGATGAATGGGTACCCCCTAAAGTTTATTAAGCGACACAGTATGGTATCAGACCCCCGAAACGGACAGCGAGGAACCCCTGATACGAACCGTATGGGTGTCTCTACCGTACATTAGTAATGTGTCAGAAACCACAGCCAGGCTTCTGGCACCCCACAATATACAGATAGCCCACAAACCTACTCAGACCCTACGAGCTAAAGTGATGCGCCCCAAGGATCAGCTCCCTACCGTGATCAACTGCACGGGGTGCCAGAGTAATTATATAGGCGAGACCTCAAAAAGACTTAAGACTCGTCTACATGAGCATAGGTTGGCTATTAGACGAGGCGAACAACATTCACAGATTTGGGCCCATGTAGCAGAATACGATCATTGCTTTGATTTTGAGAATGCCCAAATCTTGGCCAACGACACGACAAAAGGAGGTCGCCTGCTGAAAGAGGCATGGTTTTCAGGAATGGAGTCCATCAATCGGCGCGTAGACTTGTGTGCAGCACACCAAGCTCTGAAAATGTGGAGTGCCAGCAACCGTACTAACGTGTGGAGGGGATCCAATCAAAAAACTTGTAATCAAAAAAATACCGCCCGGCCCCCCTCCCTGCATAATTACACCAATGGAGCCTCTATTGACAGCTCCTCCCACCCGGACTGACAACAGACTAACTTCAGCGGACAACTGTGGCTAGGTTTGTCACGACCCGCCGGGAGGAGACTCTTTTTGGGACGGAATGGAGATGGAGTGGGGCTTGGGGAACCAGAGGGAAAACGGAATATAATAAAGTCTAATGAGGACGATGAGAATGAGGATGAATCCCCCCCTGAGGATACTACCAGGCACATTATGATAATTCGGTCGCAGTCGAGCAGAGGAAGGCACCCCCCTCTGACATTCTCAACACAAAGCTGCGCAGTGAAACAGCGACTGTAATCAAAGGGGAAGAGCCCCGTACGGAGTGAGAATGGAGAATTGGGGATGAGTGGGAATGGTGCTTACCAACAATGGACAGAACAACAAGGCACTGACAATGGGATAATGGCAGAAAACATCCTGAGTGTGCGCGAGGGAGAAAGCATGGAAATGAACAGTAGATCATTCAGGAGAACTCACGGGAAAGAGGGAAGGAGGAGGAATAGCATGGGCTGTGACTATGAGCCTGCGTTACAACCCCGAGGGATAGATAAACAAGATCAAAGTGATCTTGGGGCTTGCATGGATATTGGAAGCAATTTAAATAATTGCCCACCCCCGCTCCCTAAGGGAAGCCGTGTGTGGGATGGTGGGGGAGTTATGAGCAGGGGAGGAGAAAAGATCCTGACCCCCATCCTGACCAACCCTGAAACAGCTAACGGAGTAATGTATGACAGAATGCAAATTAGCAATGGAAAGAGGATAGGTGCTGATGTGGGGCGTGTGCTTGGGACTCAACTCGATCAGCTGGGGCCAATGACACGCTCCAGGAGCCAGGAAACAGGCATTAAACAACTGTATATAAGACTTCCCCCGGCGTTTGCCTTTTAACCCTGACGATGTCAAATGTATTTGACGAAAGCTTGGTGGATTAAATTCTATTTTTGATAGATATTCTCTTGGTGATCATTATTTTGACAATATGAATACTCCCAAGAGTCGCATTTTTGTTTTTATTTCTAATCATGTGTGTGTGTGTGTGTGTGTGTGTGTGTGTGTGTGTGTGTATTTATTTTCATAGATTTTCACGGGTACAGGTGTGCAGGTCTTGGCGTATTTGGGTCTTTTCCCGTGTAAGATTGAGAGTATCTTGGCGATGTTTCGACAAGGTCCCACTCGTCATCTTTAGGCCTGGGTCTTCGGCTTCGTGCTTGTGCAAGCAAAGTGTGATCGGAGCTGCCGTCTCTCTGTAAATATTGGTGGGGGTGTGTGGAGTGCTGGCTTAGTTGCTGTAGGTAGGTTGGTTGGCTGTGTTGGAGTTATTGTTTGTGGATTGTTCGGCTGTTTCGTAACATCCTGAGTGGCTGAGGTGCTGGCTGTGTGCCCATTACTCTTTTGTGTTGTAATGACCTGGGTAATGGGCTGTGTGGTAACATCCTGAGATCTAGTGTCCGGACATCTGCTCTGGACATCACATCACAGAACTCAGGAGGTTACAACGCTAAAGCTCAGGATGTTACAACACAGCCACCCACCCAGTATGTTGCAACACAGAACTCAGGATATCACTACACTAGATTTCAGGATGTTACCACACAACCCATTACCCAAGTCGTTACAACACAAAAGACTAATGGGCACACAGCCAGCACCTCCAATTTCAAATTATCCTTCCAGATTTTTTTCAGGTTCAAGACAACTTACCGTGCTATATTGTAGGATATTGAAGTTATTTCTCTGTTTTAAAGGATTAAATTCCTTAAATGTTGTCTGTTAATAACTGATGAGATCAAATTCATTAATAAAGGAATTGTTGAATTTTACTACCTTGGAATCAAATGGGAACATGTAACTAATCCTTTCGCCTAATGTATATTTAACATTAATAACAGTAGTAATAGGATTTTCATTCTACAGTTTTAATTGTACAAAATACTATTTTTGTATTTAATAAACTTATTTTCATATGTTACAAACATTTATCAGCAATTAGTTGAACCATTCACCTTTCCTCTCAAATATGGATTTGAGAGTGCTATTACTATAACCAGAGTACTTAGGTTAACTTCCTTTGTACCTATTGACATATTAATTCCTAATGAAATGAAATATCTTAGGTGAAAGGCATCACAATAATGTTTCAAATTCAGTATGCCTAAACCTTCTTCATCCTTTTGTTTATATATATGGTTTGCCTAATCCTAGAATTGTATAGTTTTTGTATACAGTATTAAAATATTTTGCATTTTACCTGAGACTGCTATTCATTCGATTAAAAAAAGGGAGAAAACACTGAAGCTAATGATAGTTTGACTTAAACCTTTATTCCTGCTTTTGGTTTCCTTTCCTTATTGCTTAACCTGCTGTTTAATGAAAGTTCTGGAGAGCGCATAAGCTTGCTTTCTCATTTTGTCTTATCCCAGTAACAGTATTGCCAGCGTTGATGTTTTATAGTCACAGACCATTAAATTATTTCTGCTCCTGCAATGTTCAGAGAGCATATTCATATGTGCTGATGTTCAAATTACTGTACTTGGAAATACTGCAGATTTCTTGGGCAACTCACACTTCATTGCATATTAAGTGCCATTTAATGCTTCATTTCCAAGCATATTGTGTATTGCCTCATTAAACACAACTTCCCATAGTGATCCTCTCTATTTAGATGAACACTTTTCAATGTTCTTCATATTAGATATATTTTAAGTATGTATATGAATTGTATTCTTAATAAACTGGATGCTTTACAATTTACTGGCATTCTGTGAGATATATATATGGCTATATGTGTCATGAAGAGATTCTACACTTCAAAAACAATCACTAAAACACTGTATATGACATTCTATATTCACAAGCCTAGGCTGAATATATTGTTTCATCAAAGCACTTAGACCAGAAATGTGTTATCTCAGCCTTAGCTACCTCTAGACATATTCATTATTCAAGCTATTCATTATGACTTCATAAATTCTCCCACATTACATTCCTGAGAAAAGAGATTTTGAACTACTATACTAATCAGGGGAATGAAGTGGGAAGAATTGGAAGCTAGATGTCTCTTGGATGTGTAAAAAAAAGAGAAAGAAATGGATATAGATACATACAATTAATTCAGAAGATTTTAAACACTAAATTGATCAAGTCACAGGGCTGAACCACAGGTATTTATTCCTATGAGACATACCAATCTCCTGGACTATACCTTAGGCCCAGAATGGTAGGCTTTCTAGTCCCCAGGCTGGGCCCCATTACTGTTGAACACCGTATTGGTCTGTAATTGTAACACTATATTGATCTGTAACACTATATTGGTCTGTAATAAGACTACTCGTATTAATGATTTAATTTCTAAAGAGAAGGCCAATCTGTATTTCATAGAGACTTGGCTGGGACAGGAAGGTGGAGTGCTGCTCTGAGATTTGCACAGCCAGTTTTCAGATTTGGCATCAACTAAGACTTCAAGATAGGGGAAGTGGAATGGTGGTGATTATACAAGAAACTAGAGAGGTGTCCAGGGGACATTCTATTTACATTACCAGATATGCTGTTTCTTAAATTGAGCATCAGTAGGGCTCAGTTGGGACTGCTGCTATTGTACCAGCCTCCCTGTTGTGTAGTGACTTCCCTGCCTGAGCTTCTCGACTCCATGGCTGGGTTGGCTCCAGAATTTGTGGCTATGTCACCAAATTATCCACATAGTAGCAGTAATACACCAAAGTTCTACACTATCCACAGTGGAGGAGTGACTGGTAAAAATGATGAAGCTTGCAGACATGGCATAATTAAGTTTCTTTATCAGGGAAAAGATAATATCTACATTTATAACTGATTCCTTTTAGAATTTTTGCATGGAACAGAAAAAATGCTCTTATGTCTTATGATTCTAATTATTAGAAAAAAAATGATAATAGAAAAAAGTGAGCTCTTTTGTAATCATAGAATAAGAGACAATTTTGTAACCATATTTATATTTGGAGCAGAAGAAATTGTAAGCTGATTCTTTCTACTTCTTTTCATTCTTTCTCACTGCACTTTTGCTTTTTCTTCTGTTTCTTTGTTCTCTCTATTTTGTATTAGTTGTTATATTCTCCTTATAATGTTTAATAAAACTTATTTTTTTAAAAAAAAAGAATCTAGATCATTCTCAGAACCATTTGTAGAACCATTTATATTTTTCTCACCAATTTTCTTGTTTTATAAAGCCAAAGTTTGTTTCTATTGTCAATGCTTGTTCTTCTTACTTTCCCAGATCCTAACACTGTCAGGTCCACCAGAAGGAGGAACACGAGTCACAATTCGTGGTGTTAACCTGGGGCTGGATTTCTCTGAAATAGCCCACAATGTACAAGTAGCTGGTGTGGAATGTGTTCCACTAGAGGACCAGTACATTATTGCTGAACAGTGAGTTTATTTGTTTGTTTATTTATTTGTTTGTATTCCACCTTTATTGTTTTTATAATAACTCAAGGCAGTGAACTTGAGTACTCTAATACTCTTTCCTCCTCCTATGTGGTCTCTATGTGAGCAGATAAACAAATAATAGTGCTTAATATAAATAATGTTTTACCCAAGAATAAAAGCAGAAGTTCAACTGAATAGACCAGTTCTAAGAATATTGTGATTGTCATTCTTAAATTTCAAACACTAATTTGTATTAAAAAAGTTGTAAGACTACTAAATTATTATGACAAAATATTATTTTTCAATTAACGGGATTCCCTGGTGTCATTTTGATTAATCCTTACTATGAGAAAGCAGCCATTGTCCAATTCCAATTATGTCTAGCTTGCTTCATGAAATTTTTGCCTGCGCTCTGCTGGCTAGTTTCAGTAGAGAAATTACTGAGAACCGAACCAATCTAGCTTTAGCCATTGCATTAGAAGATCTCTGGTATTTTAGTACACCACAGAAACTCTGAATTCAGAGATACAAAAGAAATGAGTGGAATCCAACATAATATATCTTTTCTTTCTCAGCTCAGGAGATTTCATTTACAGATGACTCTGCAGAGAAGTTCTATGTGTCTCCTTCAGACACAGCTAGCATTTTCTCCATTCTTCTGGGCATCAAGGGGCCAGAACACTGGGCAGATATAGTGGGAAAGTGGTCTTTCCATTATCTATTATTGTGGAAAACATTTCTTTATCTAATAATAGAAAGCCAACAGATATAGAGAAGGTTCCTTGTAAGAGCAATGACCACTGGATCTCTCTGCAGGACCAGATACTGCTAACCATGTAATTGGATTTTTATTAACACTTGCAAAATACATTAGTTATTGTGTCACAGTTTTATTGGTTACTATAAATATATATCAATATATAACTATAACAATAAACTGGAAACAGCCTTCAGCAAGCCTGTTCTTCCTGTGCAGTTATATATTTCCTTCAGCTATCTTTATTATAAGGGAGATGTTATAAGGGAGATCACATGCTTTTGTACAACATACTGTATATGAATATAAAAGGCCTAAAATAGGTACAATTTTTAACATTTCCTAAGATTAAAATAGGCACACTCTAATTTGTACCAAAGAAAATAGAGTTTAATATCAAATTGTTGTTGTTGTTAATTGCGAAGTCGTGTCCGACCCATCGCGACCCCATGGACAACATTCCTCCAGGTCTTCCTGTCCTCTACCATCTTCTGGAGTACATTTAAATTCACACCTACTGCTTCAGTGACTCCATCCAGCCATCTCATTCTCTGTCGTCCCCTTCTTCTATTGCCCTCAATCTTTCCCAGCATTAGGCTCTTCTCCAGTGAATCCTTCCTTCTCATTAGGTGGCCAAAGTACTTGAGTTTCAACTTCAGGATCTGGCCTTCTAAAGAGCAGTCGGGGTTGATCTCTTCTAGGACTGACTAATATCAAAGAGGTTAACTTTATTCTTTTGGGGGCATTATGTTGTGGCTAATTGCATCTTGTTCGATCTGGAATTGTATAATTGGGTAGGGAACGAAATCTCCATCCACTATTCTCAGCTGTCATAATTGTTTTCCATAATTTGGGAAGATTTCAAAAGTTGATTGAGCTTCCAGTGCCCATTTTTTTCTCCTTTGTCTTTACAACCAACATGTGCTTCTGCAGTGTTTCCCAAACTTGACAATTTTAAGGCATGTGGACTTCAACTCTCAGAATTCCACAGCCAGAGTTGCTGGCTGTGGAATTCTGGGAGTTGAAGTCCTCATGCCTTAAAATTGTCAAGTTTGGGAAACACTGTGCTTCTGGATGAAAAGGCTGGCTCTTGTCCAGCTTCCCGATGCTCCTCCCCCAACCCCAATAATCTGAGCACAATCACTCCCTTGGCTACTCAACTACTGAGAAAAAAAAACAAGAAAAGTGATCTTTCACAATATTGGCCTACTCAGTGCATCTCTTGTCAGGCTCTTCTGATGTTCTTGCCTCCCATGTCTTCAAACAGAAGGGAGATATGTAATTGGCTGGTGAGGGAAAAAAATCTGATTTTACTGTTCTTTTTAAAAAGTTTGAAAAATATTAGAAGTTAATCTTTGTCCCAAAGTTGCCTCAGATGATTCCCAAAAAAACTATGGAGTAATTTTCCTCATTGCTATATTTCCTTTTCTGGAGATTTTCAATAATGTGTTAAATATAATTGATAATTCCAAGACTAAAGGGTGATTTTTTATTATTATTAATAAAGATCAAGCTGTTTTTCAGAAGATGTTTTAGTCCCTCAGGGTCCTTAGCGTGGTTGCCTTGCGTCTGGAGGTATCATTGTAATTATAGGGAAGGATGCCAAAACAGAGGATAGTAGAAAAGAGTCTTCTCAGGTAGTCTTATGATTTTCTACACTATCAATCATTAATCAAAATTCTTGAAGTACTTTTTAAAAAAAAAACCAGTGTCAAATACAGCTAAGCTAGAGACAAGAACAAAGCCTTAGCTTAACTCTACAGTTTCAGGTTAGTTGGGAAAACATGACAATCCTAGACCAGGCCAAATCCAAAAATGCCAGGGAATTTCTAGAAGCCTGTCACTCTGACAAACCAACCATCAATAGACACATAGACATTAACAACATCTATAGGCTATGCAAAAGAGACAATCAATTAGCCCAAATGAGAAAAAGATTCCAGCACCTCTCCATCAGTAATCAGCACTCAGATCAGCATAGATTAACTCCAAGGTCAATTTCAGACCAACAATCAAGTAAGCAATATCTCAATCAACAAACTGTCAAAGAGCCATTAATAAACAGCCCCATCAAAGAATCCCTAAGACCCTGCCCACCCATCCACATAGACAGGTTAGACACCAGAATATAAACTGACAGCAAACAGCACTCCTTACTAGTGCTGATGATGTTACCTAGTTAGGGTAATGAAATGTCTGCAAGAAAACAAGCAAGCTCAGAGAGCACCAAAGACCCCTCATTTCAACCCCGAGCTACAAATATTCTCCTTCATTGGCAAAACACTGTTTCTAACACGAAGATCTCATGCTATACAGTTTACCTTCTGCAACCTGGATTTGATGATGATGGCTTATGTTCAGAGTCAAGGGGGTCACATATTATTATTGGGATACTATTTTGATTGTCTACAAATATGGATTGAGAGATATGTTTGCAACACCTGCAATTCATAGTAAACTTTGAGAACAACTATCTATCTCTTTAAAATTACTTAGAATACCTAAAGGAGATTCTGGGTGTGGAGAAAGCTATGTTTTTTCTTCAGAGTTAAGGAGACAATTCACACAACAGTTTGTCAGATTAGTCCTGCAATGACTGATCTAAAGTCTATAGTGAGGCTTCAGGATATGTGGTGACTCCCATAGATGCCCTGAGCAACAGCCTGTTCTCAGTCTCTTCTTCTGCCCTTCAAATCCAAATCAATTAACTTTCAATACTTATTAAGTTTTGCTGTTACTAACTAGAATTTTTAAAAAAGATACTTTGGTCATGTCCTCCAATCTGAAGAAAAGAAATGTGATGTAGGTATCAAAACACTGGAAACTCCATACATAAGACAGGTGCCTTGTTGGCCAAGAAACTGGAAACCAGGCAATTGGTTTAATGGAACCATTTGTTCCTGCATGTTTTCAGCCTCTGCTAATCCATCACATTATCATTGTCACAGTCAAAATAACTACAAGAACATATTTTCAACATCAGGGAAGATCAAGATTCATTTTCTGATGCAGGCAGCACCTCTGATGCATTGACAGGCAAACCTTTCTGTCATCAGTCTTTCAGGAGAATATTGTGTATTTCTGCTCATTTCATTTCAGTTACAGGTTGGATCAGTCAGGGGGACTAGATCCAAGATAGCAGAATCTGAGTCCTGCCATCTTTGGCAGCATTTCATATCCTTTGTGGACATTTTTGCATTGCCAATCAACCATAAAAGCAATCACAGCTTTGACTATTAGATATCCCCAGGGCCTCCTATATGCTCTTCCTGCTGTTCCTCTAATTTGCAGAAAGTTAAGGCATGTATGTTAACACACAAGATCTCAATCTCTCACTTCTAATCTAGGAAGCTTTGGGTTTTTAGATCTAATACATATTTGTCCTGCTAAACATAATGGCCACTTTTATTGCACCCAGATTCAAAAGATAATTATAGTTTCAAATCTGGAGATTAAGAGGAAACAGCTAGCCCATTTACATTATAATCAGGATTCCAACCAGACCATTCTTTTATCTTAACATCTTATTTCAGGTGGCTCAGTCTATTTATGAGCTCACCTGGAGGACATCTTAACAGTAGTTAAGAGGAAAAAGTTGTCTCCCTATTGGGTTTCCAATAGTGATGTTTCTCAGTCTTGATTCAACAGTCCCTGCATCCTTAACAGTCTTACCTGGCAGGTGTTTTGAATATTCTCTTATGCTGGATTGTATTTCATATGTTTCTGTAACATTTCATCAGCATGTCAAAAAGCTTCGGTCAGGATCCTCCTTTTGAAATGTTCTGCTATGTATATAACATCCTCCTGGAATCTTCATTTAATGCTAAACTTTAAGACATTTAAATGATTGTATTTTATGAGTTCCTGTCACCTGGAAGATGGCTTTGGGTACTATTATTTCAACAATATCTATAGCAGGGGTGTCAAACTGCAAACCATGGGCTGGTTGCATTATACAGAGTCCATGCCCACCCCAGTTCCAGCAATGCAAAACAAGTTGCAATATGTTGCGACACATCACGTGATGTGGTGAGTTTGACACCTGTGATCTATAGCAGTGGTTCTCAACCTGTGGATCGGGACCTCATTTGGGGTCGAACGACCATTTCATGGGGGTCGCCAAACAACGCAGTCCGCCATTTTTTTCCCCTTTTCCTTAGCTGTGCTACTCCCTTTTATTCTATTGGCTTTTGAAAGCCAATAGAATAGACTCTCTTGAATAGTGTCTAATTCTATTGGCTTT